TATAATATTAATAAAACTCACAACAAGTACATCGATAATCAAGTGGTTACAAAAACTTAGCAAAAGTTGACACTCCCCCTCAACAACCATCGAGGCCAAACAAACAAAAACAGTAAAATAACCAAATTACAAACAAACACTAAACTCCAAATTACATAAATTCAACATATAAAAAATATGTTCTCAATGACTCACTGCAGTATTAGCAAGAGGAATAACAATTACATGTATTGGGCTTTATTATCATGTAGGCTTTATTATCATGAAATGTATATTGGGTCTTTTATGTAATGTATTATATCAGCCCATTAGGTTAATCTCTCTTTCATATATGTAGAAGACTTAGGGTTGAGAACAACACTTTTGGTTCATTCTCTTGTAAACATCCGATCTATTTCATTCTGTCTAATTTTCTTCCCACAGATAGTTCATATTGTTCATATTATGGATCATGTTATGGTATCAATTGCTGAGTTTTTCTCGATCCTTCATTGACATATTTCCGCTGCATCATTTGGAATCTCGGTCGACGTTTGAATTGTAGATCTGGTTCTCTGAAACCCTAGATCTACTTCTTCAAGCTCTGCGATTTGAGTTTTCCGACTATAATCATCGATTCTCTGTTCTTCGCTTGACGATCTACATGGCGGCTCCTCCTATTATCACTCCGCCGACCGATGATCCGTCTTCTCCATTTTTTCTTCACCCGAGTGATAATCCGGGTGCGTTGATCGTTGCAGAGGTCTTCAATGGAGATAACTATGTTTCATGGTCTCGCGCAGTACTCATGGCTCTTAGTGTTAAAAATAAGGCTGGTTTTATTGACGGTACTATTTCTGTCCCATCCCTTACTCAATCTCCTGTTAATTCTATTGCATGGGTTCGAGCAAACAATCTGGTTTTATCTTGGCTACTTAACTCTATTTCCAAAGAGATACGTCAATCTTTGTTGTTCTTTACTGTTGCCAAAGATGTTTGGGATGAAATTAAATCTCGCTATGCTTTGAGTAGTGGTCCTAGGGTTTTCCAACTTGAAAAATCCCTAAGTTCTATGGACCAAGGTTCTCTCTCTGTGACTCAGTATTATAACTCATTCAAATTATTATGGGATGAATATGTGACTTACCGTCCTGTTGTTCAGTGTACCTGTGGTGCCTGTAATTCATGTACCTGCAATATATTTGATGCCATGTCTGCTGCTCAACAATTTGATTGTGTTATGAAATTCCTCATTGGGCTTAATGATTCATTTTCTTCTCTGAGAAGCCATTTTCTATTGACATCTCCTCTTCCCTCACTGTCCAAAGTTTATTCCCTCTTACTTCAAGAGGAAAGTCAAAGAAACCTACATATCCCAACCAAGAATGCTGATCATCTCTTGCTATGATACTTAAAACATCCCAGCCCTATGTTAGTCCCATTTTTGTTACTACTTTTGTGGTCTTTTGTTTATCTTTCTTTTCCCACTCTAGGTTGTTTTGTAGGTTTTTCCGGTCATTTGAGTCATTTTGTGCGTTTAGTGTTATTTCTGTATTTTTCGTGTTTTTCGTATTTCTTTCTTCCTATTCTCCTGTTTCCGTGTTTTTCTCGGTTGGTGTTGGTTTCAGGTGTTCGAAACGCTGCCCTAGGATCGTTCAGCTAGTCGTGCGGACCAACATGTGTAGGACAATGTTCGAGCTCGGGCAGAACCCGGGAGTACACGAGACAGTTGGGGGCTTATAAGTCGACCGGGGGAGGTTAGGCGAGCCGAAACAGGACAAAAAGCAGCGCTGTTTTGTTGAGCTAGCGCCGCTAGGGTTTGCTAACGCCGCTGAGGGACCTAGCGCCGCTGCCGAATATTAGCGAGATCAAGAGAAAACCGCTGTCCGTGGGTTAGCGCCGCTAGCTAGCAGCTAGCGCCGCTAACCCCCCCCTAGCGCCGCTAAACCCCCTCTAGCGGCGCTAGCTACTGAGATAAGATTAGTTCGCGACTCTTTTATAATGAGGAGGAGGGTTTGTTTTAAAATTCATTCGGAGACTTATTTTTACGCGTTTTTTTGGCTGGGGAAAAACACTGCTATCATTGTTTGCTCTTGGGATTCGATTCTAGAGATTAAAAACCTCTACTATCTTGCTTTGGATTCGGATACTATTGGATTGAGTTCAGAATTTTCATTAATCGTAAGTATTTTTCTTCAATTCTTTCGTTGATGATGATGTCTTGGGTTATGAATGTTTGTGTGATCAAATCCATTATGAGTAGCTAAATCCATCTGCTAGGGATAGGGGATAATTGATTAGGTTCAATTATAATTGCTTGTTCTTAATTGCTCATATCTAAGCGAGTTGAGTTCAATTTAGGGTTAATAGATTGATCACCTATATAACCTAGTTAATCATTGTTTAGAACCGAAAGGGGAGACATTGGTCGATTTAGGCTCGTTTAGAATAGACTTGTTCGTCAAAGTATTGTCTATGAGTTGCTGGAATTGATAGTCAATCGTATATGTTCACTCTCTTGTTACGAAGAGTTATTGAGAGTGAACCTCTAAACAAGAGACGATTCACTTCCTTTAACCGAGCAATTGATTGCCGGTAGTTGTGTAAGAACCGAAAGCAGTTGTCCCCGATTCCCTAGCTCTTTAAATTCTCAGTTAATTCGTTACTGTTCATCTCGTGCTTTATTCAATTTAAAGTTGGTAGTTGATAATTGAAACCCAAATCATTGAATTAGAGTGTTTAGGGTTTTTATCTTCTTTTGTGATTGAATAATCGAACAAAATAATCCGGCTGACCTTCCTTGCGATACGACCCGGGGAACGAATCTTTCGATTCTACTCCGGTTAAAAATATTACAGCAAAATGGCGCCGTTGCCGGGGAGGGTTTAGGACTTATTTTGTGCGCCTATTCATTTTGTTTTGAGTGTTTCTCTTATTTCTTGTGATTTTTCTTGTTTCCGTGTTTCTCTTGATTTCTTTTTATTTGTTAGGTGTTAGTTCTTATTTTTATTTTTATTTTCTTTTCTTATCATTGGTGCTCGTAACCCTTGTTGGTCTTAGTGTATGCGTACCAGGAGTGGACGCAAATTGCTATCTCCGATCAACAAATCAGTCAACGAGAGCCTGAGGGAGCTGCTGGAAGAGCTGACTCTCGAGTCTAACGAAGGAAACGAGCATTCCCCGAACTCGTCAGAGGGCAGTAACGTCAACATGGATGAGCAACAGCAACAACCGCCTCGTAACACCCTCCGAACCTTGGCCCAGCCGGTTATTGGGCCAGTCACTTCGTGTATCTGTTTACCAGAGCCCGCACGGAATTATGAGCTAAAAATGATTCATTACAACCAGCTGCCGGCATTCCATGGACTCCCGAGCGAAGACCCGCTTAACTTCATCTGGGAATTCTACAATGTCCTCAACACCTTCCCACTGAACGGGCTGAATGAGGATCAGTTGAAGATGAGGTGCTTCCCCGAGACATTGAAAGACCGGGCCAAGGCCTGGTTCATGACACTTGCACCGGCATCTCTGACCACCTGGACCGAGGTTTACACGAAGTTTATTGGGAGGTACTACTCCCATCAGAAGACTCAGGAGCTCCGGTCACAGATCGTCTCGTTTGCGCAACTACCGAATGAGCCTCTTCACGAGGCCTGGGAGCGATTCAAGGATCTCCAGCGACAGTGTCCCCACCACAATCTTTCACCGGGACTACTAATGAATTGCTTCTACGACTCCCTCAACCAGAATTTGCAATACATGGTTGATAACGCTGCAGGGGGAGACACCGGTGCGAAGACAGCCGAAGAGATGTATGAGATTTTTGAGACGATGAGTGCTAATTCGTCTCAAAAGAGCAATCGAGGGAAGAGGGTCCTGGTCAACGAGGTATCTTCTGCTCAAGATATGATGGCCCAGCAAATAGCCGAACTCACCGAGCAAATGCGGCTAATGAATGCACGAGGAGGCCAGTCCATGCATACCATGGCAGTAGACACATGTGGAGCATGTGGAGTTCAGGGGCATAGATCCGAGGTGTGCCCATCGGCGTTTGACCAGGAGGTAGGAGAACAATATACGGACGTCAACGCCCTTCAAGGTTATCAAAACCGGCAAACCAATGACCCCTATTCCAACACATACAACCCTGGGTGGAGAAATCACCCAAACCTCTCGTGGTCCAACAACAACAATACTCTCCAGCCACCTCGTCCGAACTTCAACCAACAGCAGCCCCGCCCAAATTTCATGCAACAGCAAAACCGTCCCAACTTCATTCCCCGTCCGAGCTACCAACAACAACAGCAACCACAACAGCAAGCCCAAGGTTCCGGTTCAAGCTCGTCAAATCAAGATGACAAGCTGGATAAGATCCTTCAGTTTATCACAAACCAGGACTCATCTATTAAGCGTCTCGAGACGCAAGTGGGTCAGCTTGCCACGAGAGTCGGGAATATGGAGGCTGAGTCAGACAAAGGGAAACTTCCGAGCCAGCCCGAGCAAGCAAAGGCTATAACAGTGTTGAGGAGCGGAAAAGAAGTGGACAACAAAGTAAGAATGCCCGAGCCTGTTGACTCCAAACCAACCGACCAGCCCGAAGAAACCGAGGAGAGTACGAAGAGCACGGAAACCGACTCGAGAAAACCAACAGAGAGTCCTTTGTTGCACAAGTCTCCAAATCCTTACAAGCCACGCATCCCTTTTCCGAGTAGACTCCGGGACGAGAAGCAAGAGCAACAATTCCGAGATCTCTACAACATGCTCTCAAAGGTCAACGTCAACCTGCCACTCCTGGACGTGATCAAGACTATGCCCTCGTACGTGAAGTTCTTCAAAGACTTAGTGACGAAGAAGAGGAAATTTGGAGACGGAGAGAAGGTAGTGGTTTACGAGGTTGCGAGTGCCATGCAGCATGAACTTCCGAAGAAAGAGCGAGACCCCGGGGGCTTCGTGATTCAAATAGCCCTT